AATAGTGAAAATAATGGGATGGGGAGGGTGTGTGTGTGTGTGTGTGTGTGTGTGTGTGTGTGTGTGTGTCCAAATGATCCAGAGGGATCTCAGGCCACAAAGAGCAACCACTTTAGATTTTGACTGACCTAGGTTCTTATGTTGGTTTTGGGTAATTTCTTCAACAAAGATGCCAGTAGAAGCTGTAGTCAATTCTTTCAGTCATCTTTTAAAGACTTCAGCTTTCCCATTCCTGGGCTCTGCAGTGATCAGGCTTCTGGAAACTTATTTCTGGGTTCCTGGAGGTGTTGAAGAATACCTGAGTTTGGTCTATTTCTCTGTTCTTGATTTTTGACTCTTGAGCATTTTGAGTGACAAAAATACCCTGAATCTAATAATTTGTCCCTGTCAATCCTGGTTGTGTGAGCTTTAGAACAACTATGGCCTTAAAATGAAGCTGTCTTTTGTTTTTCCTTTCTTCCTTTTGCCCATCTAAGCAACGCTTATTTGGAAAGCTCTGGGTGCACTGTCTAGCCAATAGTGCCCCATGCTGTGCTGTCATGTTTTGTGAAGCTTTCATGAATGCTTTTGCCTTTATAGATATTCTCCCCTTGCACCCGGGCTGCCTCTGGTTCTGTGGATGTGCAGTGAATGGTGAAGCCGTTTGCTAAATCTCAAACACATTGCCTCTCTTCAGGTGCCAGAGCTTGCTGTGCTGGGGAATCTAATATTATCAAGCCTGACTCATTCATTTGGTCTGATGGTACCATTTCTCCATTTTGCAGTCATGGATAGATGGGGGATTTTTGATTTATACTTTTTTTTCTGACTGCAGCTTTATAATTTCCCTTTTAGGAAGTTACTCAATTTCCCTCTCTCTTTCTCCTACTCATGGTGCATTGTTTGCTTCAAGGGCCCTGGTAGTTCAGGGTCAGCTTGGTCCTTAGTTCGAATATTTGGTTCCCTTTCTCTGGGTGATCTCTGTTCTTAGCAGATAAATAAGATCTATAGCTACTGTTAAATGAATAGATTTTTAATGACATTATGACTGTTTGGGCTTTAGTCAGGATATCAGGCATTCAAGCTTATTTGGTGACCTCTCTTAGGGCACAACTGAGTCACTTTTTCACAATTTCAGTTGAGATACTCTTGTTTGGTCAAAAAACAGCCATACTTTTGGATTTTAGGGATGTCCTCATTTAAGAAAAAATATGTGTCACCCAAACCTCAGATTTAAAGGTTACAAGCTTAAGGGGCCGGGGATTTAGCTCAGTGGTTCTGCCCCCTGCCTCGCAAGCACAAGGACCTGAGTTCGATCCCCAGTACCAAAAAAAAAAAAAAAAAGATTACAAGCTTCTTAGAAATAGTCTGTAAATGCCCAACAAACAGTGTATGTGAAACTATGGGCAGTGAAGCTGCCTAAGCCTAAGCGGATTGTTCAAGTCTCACCTAAAAACATTCAAACCTAGTGCAAAACATTTAGGCTCACTTTTGGTCAGGGATCCTGGCTCTGTGAAACCTCCCAGAGTTAGGGATCCTGACCAGGGTATCAGATATTGCTTTGCATTTGCTAAGAGGTATCCTGAGATGCAGGAATTTCAAGGCTAAAACTGCAATATCCCTGGACTATATGGTTGGTTGGGCACCCTATGGCGAGCACACTTTGTGAACAAAAGCTTTAACTGAAATAAAACAGTATTTTCTTTGAAGCTTTAAAAGTGAGGAGGATTATTTGATCAAATGACTTCACCTGTGGGGGTAAAAAGACGTGTATTCTTTTTTCCTTGTAAAATACTCTTGTTTGGTCAATATTCAGTGGGGAAAAGAATAATGATCACTACTTATTTTTTCTTATAAGCAAAGCAGGACGTCAAAGTCTATTTGAGGAATGACCCCTTTCCAGAAATTATAGGCACTGAATTTATTGCCAGTCATTTGTCCCTGTCCATCTGCTAATTCTCTCCACATTGAAGGAGCAGCTGTCATTGCAGAAATGTTACAGTAGATAATAAGATGGGATGCATTTCATCTTTAAATCTGTAAAACAAATCCCTGAGAAGCACAGCGGCAGTTCTTCAGACTACACAAATCTATGATATTATTAACATAAAATGCCTAGTGGATTTGGAGATTGGAAGCAAACAAATTTTCTTTAAAAAGAAAAGTTCTCCAGTTGGGGTAGTACGTATTGCAAAAATCTGAAACTGCACTGATAGAGGAACTACCAAAGCCATAGGAACACACTTCAAAATCACAGCCACACATAGACTCTTTAATGCAAATATAAACCTATGGGACTTCAAAAATCCACGCAAGCTTTCTATACCAAAGGAGTGATTCATTGCCTCCACCCTTGCAAAAGAACCAACCAAATAAAACTTTCTCAAAACTAACAGCTTCCCTAACTTCCCTATGTCTTTCATTGGCCCAATTTCTCTCCGATTGTACTCGGATAACCTTAAATGTTGTCCTCTCTTTGGCAGTTAATGGCGCAAATTCCAGTCAGCAATTTCTATTGTTTATTTGCTTGAATTTTTTTTCTTTAATGAATTCTTTTCTGCTTAGTTCTACTGGCTGCAACCTTGAACGTGCTGAAGTCACCTCGTGCTTAAAACAGACCATAGCCTCTTCTCTCAGTTCTCTAGCCAGGCATCTTCTCTATTCTATTTAACCTGCATATAACTACTTGGTTGTTCTTCATAGGGAAAAAGATGAGGACAAAGTAAGGAAAGGGTGAACAGTGTTGATATTGTGCTGTGCATCCCAGACCATTATAAACACAGGTGAAGATATAGATACAGATGCTGATGTGGATATGGTCATGAACATAGACATAGGAAGATAGAGAGTTATAAAAATATTTATTAATAAAGCAGATATCATTTCACTTGGCCCTCAAGATGCTCCTGGAAGATAGGCTAAACATACTTACATTTTGCCCATATGAAAATATTGACTCTCAAAGAGGCCCCCAGATCTTATAACTGAAATGAACTGAAAGTTGGAAATAAGGTCTTCTTAACCAGTCTTTTGGTTGTAGCACAATTTTTTTTTTCTGTTTTGAAGAAATGTGATATAGAGTTGTATTTCTCCTGTGTGGTAGCCTATAGGTCTTCCCTATGGAGGTATTACTCTTTAACTTGGACTCTATAAATACAAAGCACAGGGAAATAAGAAGTAAAGAGAGTTTGTGCAGAATTGCTGGCTACTGGACACATATAATGCTTCCATTTTCATTTACACAAACATAAATGGTTTTAAAGGACCTCAAATGATTTCATAACAGGCAGTGTTCCAAAAAAAAAACCAAAAAACAAAAAACAAAACTTCAGTGTTGATGAGAATCCAGGTCACGGCAAAGAGAACATTCAGCAGTTAAAGAGAATCCTGAGTCTTTCAGATATTATGACTGTAAAACACCCTGATCTGAGAAAAAAATAGCTAATCAATTTAAGAACAGTGAACATGCTTAGGAGCAGGTCTGGGTTGCCCACCCCTTTCTATTTCTGTTGACATTAAAGATCTGCTTCATATTTTATCTCCATCCTTGGTCACCAGGCAAAATAGAAAAAAAACCCATGTCTATATGTCATTCCCAGTAAAAATAGGAGAGGAGAAAAAAAGCACAAGAAAAGCCACAGAGGATAATGCACAAAACCTACCATTTCTCTAGTCAAAATATTTTAATGGTGGAACCAAGATAAATGATTAAGGATTTTCCATTTCTCAGGAGTTGTAAGAGGGGGCTAACAAGCAGCAGGAAGCTAATATTTAGAGATAATTTTGGAACATGGAAATGAAAAAGTGATGAAAGGAGGTGGCTAAACCTTCTCTCTTCCTCCCTCCTCCAAGATATATTGAAAATTCTCTGGTTTGCAAATAGGAAATATTATCAGATTCTGCATTTAAATGCTAATGCATTTATTTATTCCAAATTATTGACTCAATACCAAATTTGACAGAGTTCCTATATTAGAGTTTTGATGTTTACCAGGAGGCTGTCTTGGTCCCCAGAAAGCTCCCAGTCCTTTCTGTTTAATGGGAAAGTTGGGGATTGTGATACCTCCAGCCATGTCTCTGTTGCCTAGAATTGCTTTTGCTATTCTAGGTCTCTTCTGGTTCCAAATGAATTTTTGGATTGTTTTCTCTAGTTCTGTGAAATATATTTTTGGGATTTCAATTGGCATTGCATTAAATCTATATAGTAGTTTTGGAAGTATGTCCATTTTCTATATATTGGTTCTTTCTACCCAGGAACAAGGGATGTCTTTCCATTTTCTTATATTCTCCTAGATCTCCTTTTTCAGAGTGCTGTAGTTTTCAGTGTAGAGTTCTTTTGTTTCCTTTGTTAGGTTGATTCCTAAGTACTTCATCTTTTTGGATGCTATTATAAAAGGAATTGTTTCCCTAATTTCTCTCTCAGTGAGTCTGTTATTTGTGTATAAGAAGGCTATTGCTTTTTGAGTGTTGACCTTGTATCCAGCTACTCTACCGAATCTGTCAATTAGGTTTAGAAGTCTTTTGGTGGAGTTTTTTGTGTCTTCTATGTAAAGTATCGTATCATCAGCAAATAATGACCATGTCTTTATTGGGGTGCCATAATATCAACCATGCAGAGTTATTAGGACAGATGGAAATAATCATAAATAGTATGCTTAATATTGAGCTCACCTTAATTAGTTGTAGAACTGAAGGCCCCAGAGAGTAATGTACTGAGTTTGGTCTTTATGGATGTGTATAGTACAGAACTACACTTCCCAAAGTTTGTCTTAGAACTGTGACCACCCAGTATCACATCAAGCATGGCTTCTAGTTCTTTTTGGAGCTGAGAATAATCATGTCACTTTGGGAGCTTAAAGGACAGATCTGCAGCTTTCTGGACATCTGGAACTGGTGCCAACTGGACAGAAGTCAGAGGGAAGTTGGACTCATTAGTTTAATTGTTTGTCTTGTTGAGTTTTATTTTCTCAAGCTATTTTCTTCAAAATCTGTATTTACTTGCTTATTGTCTGTGGTTGCAGTCACAGATGCTCACTGAGAGGGGAGGATTTGAACAGACAGTGGCTTGCTCCCAAAGCCCATCTCCAGCCAACGATTTACCATGCCAAAGGACTCCTCCACTACCTGAACAGCATTGGCCGGGGGCCTGTGGTGAGTTACTTCCTTCTATTTCCACTCCTTCCTGGCTCCTTCTACCCCAGGAGGCAAATTATCCTCTGTCAAGGCAAGAATACCAGACAAAAACCAAAGACTGATGTCTGACAAGCTGTAATGTGGGTTGTATTTGTTTCTCACCCTGCCATATCAAACTACCACAACCTGGTGGCTTGGAACAACAGAAACTTATTATCTCACATTTCTAGTGGCTAGAAGCCTGAAACCAAAGTGTTGCAAGGCCATTTTCACACAGTGGCTCTAGAGAAGAATCCTTTTTTGCTTCTTTTGCTTGTGATGGTTGCCAACTTCCTTAATGTGCCTTGGTTTGTGGCAACTGAACTCTAATCTCTGCTTCTGCCTTCACAATGCCATCTTCTCCCTGTATTAGTGTCCAAATTTCCCTCTTCTTCAAAGGATACAATCACTGGATAGGGCCCACTCTAATTCACTATGGCTTCTTCCTACCTTTATTACACTTCCAGAGACCTATTTCCAAATAAGGTATTGAGAAGGGCTGGGGATTTAGCTTAGTGGTGCCGTTGCCTGCCTTGCAAGCACAAGGTCCTGAGTTCAATCCCTGGTACTCAAAATAAAAAAATACATGAAGAGGGGAGATGTTAAGTGTTTCCACCTGCCTCACAAGCACAAGGTCTCGAGTTTGATCCCCGGTACCAAAAAAAAAAGCAAAAAAAAAAAACCCCAAGAAAATAATGCTTGCTACCTCTGGGCCAGGGATTTAACTCAGTGGTTCCGCCACCTGCCTCACAAGCGCAAGGTCCCAAGTTCGATCCCCAGTACAAAAACAAAACAAAACAAAAAACCCAACCAAATAAGGATTGAGGATTAGAACTTTAACATATCTTTTTGGGGGACATAATTCATCCTACAGTATAATTAAACTATTGGTTCAATATTCATTCCATTTCCTAGGTCTTAAATTTTGTTTTGTTTTGAACAAGAAGGAAAATGTACATAGCATTAGTGTTTGGAAAAAATCATCTAGATGTTCAAATTCATGTTGAACTAATACTTATCAAATTCAAAAGATGACTCTGGCAATTTTCTAGGTGCTTTTATATCTAGGCTTTTCTTTTGGGCCTCTAGTTTGGGGCAAAGCAGACTATGTGAAGCCAGAGGTCTTGGCTCAAATTAAGAAAGAGGAAATGACAGCCAAGCAACCATATGGAAATGCTTATTCATTAACTACAAACTGTGAAAACACCTGTCTGAAAAGATGTGGAGGGACATATGTCCAAATTTAGAGTCCTTTTCTAACCCAAGAAAATTAACATGGAGTGGAGAAAATTTCAAATTGGCCAATTTAGTCATCTATATCCTTAACCACTTTGTAACCATCTTGTATGTGAACAAATCGAAGTACTTTTAATGCAGGTTTGTTGAAAAGTGAATGAGTTTATAACATAGACTCTTATTTAAATCTCAAAAGAGAACAACAAGGCCAGTGATTTTGCTGAGATCACTTGAAATTGTATGGCAGCATTGGGAATTGGTTTTGATATGTTCTTCTGTCTGGAATGCAGCCTCTCTTCATTATTCACTCATTGAAAGAATGTGTCCATTGTTTCCAGCACTATCCTCAGGTTCAATGATTCTCCAGAAGGGCCTAATTATATACTCATAATTACAGTTTATTCCAGTGGAAAAATACAATCAGCAAAGGCAAAAGGCTTATGGTGGTGTGCAGGTGGGAGCAGTTGGGAGTGTCCAGGCGTCCCCCGCCAGAGGACGTGTGGGGACAGTGCTTCATCTCCAGCAGACTTGTAATGCCAACAGGGACTCTCATCAGAGTCTTGGCGTCCTTTTAAATGATTATCATTTTAATTGTACCTATTTATGTGGGGCAATTGGTAATTTGATACATGTATATAATATGAATAATAATCAAATGAGGGTAGTTAGCATTCCCACCTCCTGAAACATTTATGAAAACACTTTTTTTGGAAATCACATAGACACAGAAAGACAAATGTTACAAGTTTCCTCTCATGTAAATGCCAGGAAAGGCAATCTGGTGTAAAATAGTGATTACTAGAGGCTGGCAAGTTTGGAAGGAGGAGGGATAGAAGAATGCTGAGTAATAGGTAACAAAACACTGCAAGATAGAAATATTAAATTCTAGTATTCTTCATTAGAGTGGGATGACTGCAGTTCATAATAACTTATTATATATTTTATAAATAACTATCCAAAAAGAACTTGTTTTTGCCAAACAGTATAATTATAAAGAGATGAAAATATTAATTACTCTGATTTGATCACTACACATGGTATACATGTAATTGAAACATCATACTCTATAAATAAGTCCACGATTTTACTAGGGGTCAGTGGGTACCTCACATGGCTGATTCTAGTTACACAACCTATAGCCCAATATCTCCACCAGAAATCACATTGTTAACATCAAATATATGGCATGGTCCATGTTCTTAGCTCAAAAAAAGACACACGTATACAATAGATTATTCCAAAGGTGTAAAGTATATCTCTCAGGAGACAGTCAAGGGGCAGAATGTTCTTTGAAATGTGCAAGGTTTGAATATTGCAGACTTGCTGAATTAACTTCTTTTTGCAAAAGAACAAAGCAAAAATTTCCCCTTTATAATCCTGGCTTTATATTGGTTAAAATGTGCAATATTCTTATGTAGACTGTAATGCCTTTCATTCTAGAAAGCACCATAATTCCTGATGTTGATCTCTGGGAGCAAGCCCTGGCCAGTCTCATGGTTGAAAGCTGGAGAAAGGATGTCTCTGAGCAGGAAGATTTAACTGCCAGGCAGAGTGAGAAAAAGAGATTTAGAAGGAAAGATTTCCCTAACTGATACACATTTATACACACACACACACACACACACACACACACACACACACACACACTAAACTCACAACAAGACAGGATTCCTTTCTGCTCTGACAATCTAATTGAAGAGCAGAACATTTATTTTAAAGCGTGACAGGTGAAAGGCTTATATAAAAATATAAATAAACATTAATTAGCTGTAAACATGACAGGCACAGACTTGTTTCCTGCTGGGACCATCTGAGAGGTGGGTGAGAAACAGCTGAGTACTAAATGCTATTCACCATGTTACAAAGCTCTCTAATGGGCTCAACATCGCCTTTCAGTTACCTACAAGGCTATGTTTAACTAGCCTCCTGCTGCAGCAGAATCACTGCCACTTCCTCCATACTGGGGCCTGTCCCAGTCCTGGGAAGATTTCCACTAGGTCCAGATTGACTTCTTGGCTATATGGTTGGAGATTAACAGCAACTCTGCCCAGCTGTCAGCTCTTAGGAAAATGTTTGCTGAAGCACGGGGGAGCCAATTGATGGTGGCTGGAAAGTTCTACCTGTTCTACCTGTTATTCAGGCATTTGCATGTTGGAGGATAGATTAATAGGAACTCCAGGACCAATGAGAATGTGGGACAGAGAGCAAGCAGTACCCTGGTACTGTTTGGGTTGCTAAAGACCAGACAAGCTATTCCACTTATAGCAGCATGGCAATATTTCCAATTGTCCATGCGTCCTTTCATCCCTCCATTCATCCACCCCCCCCAACTATCTGGACAATCATCCACTTGACCATTCATTTACAAGGTTTGTGTGTAATCACTGTACTGGATGCCAGGGATGCAAAAGCAACTTTAAAAAAGATGGTCCTTTTCTTTCAGGACAATCTCACTTCATTTTGGTAGAGAGTACCATCAGTTCTACGAAGAAAATAATTTGGTACAGACTAGTTATAACTGTAACAAAGCCTTGTGTGGAACACAAATGGGATTTTGTTGGAACACAAATGAGGAACTGAGTTATTTTATTTCAAGCTTTTGGAAAGGCCAGAGGCTGGAAATCCCATTTCAGCTATATCTGAAGTTTGAGTTAGAATGTCCCTTGTTTTTTTCTCCTAGTAAAGCAGATAAATATTCTTTCCTCCAAGGGTCTACAGACATGATTATGATCTCTTGGGTCTTCTGCATTGTGAAATTGGAGAGCCAATGAAATTTCTGTTCTTGGAGTCACTGGATGGGCAAACAAAAGGAAGCTTTTCAACTGGCATCAGAGAGTTATCTGATGTCACATACTTTCCTATGACCTTTATTCCAATTTTCTTGAACTAGATCTTCTTTGTTAGAGACCAAATGTAGAACTCAAAAGTTCAGACATAGAATAAATGTTAATATATGCATATGGAATATCCATAACCAAACTCAAAACTCAAACAAAACAAAACCTATGAACTACTGAGACCTTCAGTACCATGAATAAATTTCAGAAATATTATATTGAGTGACAGAAATTGAGCATTAAAAATTACATATCCCATGTTCATATGTATGACAGTTCAAGACCAGTAGAGGTAATTTATGACAGTAGAAATTAGAACAGATTTTGCCTCTGGGAAGGTGCATCAATGATAGAAATCAAGAGGGAACTTTTTTGGTTGGTAGAAATATTTTATGTCTTTTTGTAAGTACTGAGGACTGAACCCAGACCTTTTGCACTGAGCTACATCCCTCACCCTTCTATTTTTCATGTTGAGACAAGCACTCACCACCTTCCTCTGATGGGAAGCAAACTTGTGATCCTGCTGCCTCAGCCTTCCAGAGAACTGGGATTACAGATGAGCATCACCTTGCTGGTTTATTCTACATCTTGATTGAAGAGTTAGTCACCACCGAAACTCATTGATCTATAAAATCAGGATCTGTGCTTTTTTATTATAAGTACGCATTTACCTAAATACATAAAATTAAAAATAAATAAACCAAAGCAAGTTTATAGAGTTTTAAAATGCAAGTGAGAATGAAAGGAAGCTGCCTAAAACAAGACTGCCAGCTCAGAAGCATGCGAGTCAAGTGGAAGAGGATATCTTTACCAGGAGGCAGCAGGAAGTGTGGAAGAAGATTGTCTAGGAATCAGAAAGACCCAGCCAGGGAGAAGTCAAGTCAGCAGGGATGCCTAAACAAGCAG